CCGGGAGCTACGTCTGGCCATCTCTGACACCATGTGGGGAGCACCTGCCTGAATGAGGCCAACACAGAGAGAGGGAGGCAGAGAGATAGGGGGACCAACTCATCCTAGTTTGCCTGAGGCTTTCCTGGTTTTAGCACTGAAAGTTTCATGCCCAAGACCCTCCCTCAGACCTGGGCAAACAGGGACAGTTGGTCACCCTGCAGAGATGAGCTGGCAAGAAAGAGTCCTGAATATATTGTTTCCCCCCTTGATCCAACTTTATTTGGAGCCCCTCCTTTTTTTTTTAGGAAGATTAGCCCTGAGCTAACTACTGACAATCCTCCTCTTTTTGCTGAGGATGACTGGCCCTGAGCTAACATCTGTGCCCATCGTCCTCCACTTTATATGTGGGACGCCTACCACAGCATGGCTTGCCAAGTGGTGCCATATCTGCACCTGGGATCCAAACCGGGGAACCCTGGGCTGCCAAAGCAGAACATGCGCACTTAACCGCTGTACCACCAGGCTGGCCCCTGGAGCCCCTTCTTGAGCATCTCAGTTCTGTGACTCACTCAGTTCTGGTGTCTGTTTCAGCAACTGTGAGCTGCATTTCTGTCACTTGCAACTTAAAGGGTCATAACACACTCCCAAATAATGTGCACATGTAAGTAAAACTCAAAGTTAAAAAAGTCAAATAAATCGAAGTAGGAAACACGCTATTTTTAGAATTGAAAAATGAGGAAACGTGACCATGTGGTCACTTCTAAGGTTGAGATAAATTTATGTCACAAAGCGGCTCTGAAAAAAAAAATGTATACAACATGGAAAAAGGAAGAGAAGCAAATGAAAACATTCTTATGGGAAAAAAAGCATCATGGCACAAGAAAGGTCAGAATAACGCATGAGCAAAATTTCAAAAGAACAAATTTACGCAGTGAGGAGAAAAAACCCAAGGGACGTAACAGCTTTATCGGCGCTCTCACCACTTCAGTGGTCAGGTTCATTTCCCCATTGCAGAACCACACCACCCGGCTGTCAGTTGCCATGCTGTGCCGGCGGCTCTCATGGAAGAACTAGTAGGATTTACAATTAGGATCTACAACCATGCACTGGGGCTTTGGGGAGCGAGAAAAAAAAAAAAGAGGAAGATCGGCAACAGATGTTAGCGCCGGGTGAATCTTTCCATGCAAAAAGAAAAAAGAAAAGCTAGAGAAAAGGGGCTTTTCTTAAGGTGACATATAACAACCATTACAAAGACCTAAGTTAAAAAGTACAAGGATGCACCAGAATTCAGGGTGAGCTACTCCTATCAGAGACTAATGGTCTGCAGCATGGGAAATTTGTGCTCCTGGAGGGCCTCCTTTCAGCATATGGCCAGAGAGAGAGGTTTAGACAATCGTCTGTACATGAGCCACACAGGATGGAATGAGAGTCACTCTGCCCGGCCTCCCCTGAAGAGGAATATAAGACTGGGGCGCAAAGGTCCTCTCCAGCCCCTTCTATCACCATTTCTAACTCTAACTCAGTAGGGAGAAACCCTGAGAGTTGAAAACCCAGAAAGAAGCCATTTTCTCAATAGAAAGACAACATGAAAAAAAAAAATAAAAAGCAGTGTGAAGACACGTGATTTACTGCTGACTCCGTGAATATCCTTTCTATTGAGTGTTACCAATTTTAAACCATTTCCCCTTGTCTTCTCTTATCATCTGATTATAAGGGGCTAATTCTTTTCTTGGTCCTCCAACTCTTGTGGGTGTTTGGGGGAATCTGACACACCTGCACAGGGTCTTTCTAAAACAAATACTTTGATTTAGGATGTTTGAGAGAAAGAGAGAAGACATCTTTGAGGGAGGAAAAGAACAGTGCTATCTGTAGTTGCACGTTTGCAAAAGAAGATGTTTACGCTATTTTTACCAAAGGATTTCTCCCCTTAAAACGTGACATTGAAAATAGAAGGGATGATATGGTTAAAGGCTGTCCAGTCATAAAAACCCAGATTCACACCCCAAATCATAAGTCACAAAGGAGGCTCAAGCATAAAACCAATGGAGTTACTGGCGCGTGTGTCTGCATTTATATAGCCTTTGAAGATGGAGATAATCCAACACTGGGGCTAGTTTGATGGTTTGTTTTGTTTAAATCACTTGTAATTCAGGAATGCCCCATCTACAAGCAGGATATCTTGCTTTCTCCCTGAACCAGGCTGCCATCCAGAGTCTAAGAAAGGAAGGAGGCAAAGCTGCAGCAAATGTCATGTTAATCCTGAAGAGCATCTCTTGCAGAATCAGACCGAACAGACCAATGACATGGGCGGTGTTTGCCTTCCTCTCCAGAGAGATGTTCTCTTCACAGAGCTCTCGCCTCCAATTTCCTACAAGGCAAATGCAAGCATTCGCCAAAGCTAATGGGCAACATGGAGTCCAGACTCCCCAGAATTTCCACCTTTCTACAAGTTCCTGAGAGCCACGTACTAGGTGTTTATGTGGTCCTGGGCATCATGTCTTCTGCACAGAAAGCCTGAGTAGGAATGAAGGGGTCTTGCTACCTGGGCCCTCATTTTGTAGCCAGGGAGATTTGAGGCTCCAAGAGGTTATGCGATTTACATGGGGTCATACTGTCACTGTGAGAGGGCAGAAGTCAGCATGCCACACCACAAACCTACAGCAAGAACGGTTTTCTCTCCTGCCCCTCTGTAGGTATCATTCTTGCTCTCCCACCTTGTCTATTTGACTAGGACTGGAAAGGAGAAGGGGGCTAAGAAAAGAAAAAGGAGGGTGAAAGATTCTTTTTCCTTGATTTTCTTATATTGATTTGACATTGATAAGACTGACCATCCTTCGGTCAAAGTAATCATAGACATTTAACACTAACCAAAACCCATGTTTCTCCTTTTTTTTAAAAAAAAAGTGACAATTCAGGCTTTTGCTAAGTTATGAAATGCCTTGATCTCAGTACAATATCTAAGGAACCACATGGCTAATACCAATAGAAAGGGAAGGGGCTGGCCCCATGGCTTAGTGGTTAAGTTTGGTGTGCTCTGCTTTGGCAGCCCAGGGTCAGTTCCTGGGCGTGGACCTACACCACTTGTCAGCAGCCATGCTGAGGTGGTGACCCACATACAAAACAGAGGAAGACTGGCACCGATGTTGGCTCAGGGTGAATCTTCCTCAAGCAAAAAGAGGAAGATTGGCAACAGGTGTTAGCTTAGGGCAAATCTTCCTGAGCAAAAAAAGAAAAAAGAAAAGAAAATGGAATAAATATTTGAGTATGAAAATCAGCCCCTAAGTACCCAAATTATATGCCAATGATGGCAACAACAGATAAAAGGTGAAAAGATGGTGGCCATAGTGATAGGGAGGTCAGGAAACAGAGAACACACAGTCTAAGAGCAAGCCCTGTTCACCAGGCCAGTCACCCTGGGACTCAGAGCCCAAACATGGTATTTTCCAGAGAATGCTAGTGTGTTTATCGTCCAGCAGACTCTGCCCTGCAGCCTGGGAGCACCTACCAGCATTTCCAACTTGGCAGCACCCCAAAAATGAGAACAATGATTTCTTTTCTCTTGCTATAATAATGCTGTCGAGTTCATCAGAGATCCATTTTGTATTTTTCATTGAGCCCAAAGCATGCTGTTTCCTTCAGAAGGAATCCTATCATGTTTTATATAGTTTTAAAAATAACTGATCTGGTCCATTAGTAAAGGTAGAAATGGTTGGGTGAGAAAGAAAGGAGTTTCTCCTAGAATCTCATTATTTATCTGAAGTAAAACACACATATTTTTAAAAAGGTCTATACCAATACTATGGTGCATGCATGAGTCCAAACACTTCTCAGCTCCCTGGGCTTTAGGGAGACAGCTGTGGTGCCGGAGTAAAGCCTCAGGCTTTGCCATTCATTCCCTCATTCCCTCTTCCAATAGGTATTTATTGAGCATTTACTGTGTGTTCTAAGCATTGAGGATACAGCAATTAACAAGACAGAAAATGACCCGACTTCATGGAATTAATGCAGAGGAGGCTGAGAACAAACTCATGCAAATAAGTAAATATGATAACTCCAGATGGTAATAAACTCTTTGAAGGAAAAATGAGGTGGGGGGTCAGCTCAGCTTGTCTGAGCTGACGACATCTAGCTGATGAGAAGGAGCCTGTGAAGGTCTGAGGGGTAGGCAGGAGAATGGTCAAGGCAAAGGCCCCGGGGCTAGAGCAAGTTTGACCAATTTGGGGGGAAAAAAGACCACCCCTGGGGACTGATAACAATAATACCTATTGTGGTAAAGACTTAATAAGATGATGAATGCAAAAATACATGATGAAATGCAAGGCAATACCACTGACAGGCATTATCTGGCCATGCTAGAATATTGTATTATCACATAAAGGACATCATTCTGCGTTTAGAAGGGATTAGGGTGAGAACTATAGATCTCAGTTTTCATCTTCTACTTCAAATAAAATGAGCAGGCTCTTGAAAACCCCTTCCACGTATGGCATATCACTAGCATGTGAAAAACGGACTCTCACATACCTGGAATCCTATTGAGCGTCACCCAGAAATGTTCATCGGGACTGAAGGTGTCTTTGGACCACTGGAGCAAATCAACAGCCCGTGGGTCATGGAGAACAAAGTTGGAAAACTCTCTTGACAGAGCAACATAGGCAGAGCCAAAGTAAATGGTGAGATTATGGGGAGGAGGCGGTTTCAAGGCGGTGGTTCTTATCACGTAGGAAAGCTCTTTGCCCAGGTGTTCTCGGTGGACATACTTAGTCCGTCCAATGGCATGAGCTGGGGGCAGCACTCCTGGGGTAATGTTTTTTCCTTTAAATCCTTTCAGATACTGAACTATTTCCTTGTTGGTTTTCAGGGGAAAATCCTGCCCACAGGTGTTGATGGCGTATTTCCATGGCACCTCCGAGGCCACGAGGTCTTTGATGCAGTTCAGGTCCGCCTGGAGCCTGGAAATCCCGCCGTACACAACTGGCTCCATCTTGGAGGCCAGGAAAGCATTGGGGAAGCAGCTCAGTAATTGCTGCACCGCATCTTTAAATTCGACTGTCGCCTTTTCATCCACATGAACACAGTAGACATTCTGAGGCATGTAAATAGCTCTGAAGAGCCTTGCAAAGGTATCGAAATTGTGATGGATGACCATTGTATACGCCAAAGGAAATTCAGCTTCTTCTTTAGATAAAGGGGCTGTGATATAGTGGCTTTGGATCAAGTATTCTTTGCAAGAAGACTTCTCATATATCGTTAGTTTGTCTCTCCACAGGAAAGGCGTCTTGCCTTTGATAAAGGATGTGCAAACCTGACTCAGCATCAAAGTGTCCGAGTTATTTAGCCTCTGGAAGCTTTGCTCTCCCCCAGAATTAAACACATAGAACACGATAAAAATGATTACACAAGAAACAGAAACTATAAAGAGGTAACGCATCGACGAACGCATGCCTCAAAGAGGAGTGAGCTTTCAAAGACTGTCAAAATCTGTAAGTCCTTTCCCAAACTTACTTTTTTCTCTGGGTTCTTATTTTGGTACATACTCCAGTAATTTCTACCCTGAAGGAAGACGCTGCGAGTTTATTCAGCCTCGTCCCGGGAGTCCAGCTGCTGGCTCTCTCCCCATGCTGATATTAGCAACTGATCCCGCCTCTTCTCTGCCTCAATCAAACCGCCTTTGTCTAAACCGCAGTAGCAGGTTGCTTAAGCCCAACCTTTTTCCCTCCCTCTGCCTCCCGCTTGCATCTGCTCGCTGTTTCACTAAAACTCTGGTAACTCCTTTCTCCCCGCAGATTGAGTTTCTCAGATCTCTTTTCTTTCATTTCCCATGGTTTTTTCTCCCCCCTCTTGTTATTGCCATTCAGAGAATTAGCGCAGTGAGAGCCAAAGTTGAAATGATGTGTTCTGGCAGGCACCCCGTTTCCTGCTAGTCATCCGACAGGCTGCGGCTCTCACCCACTCTTGTTGCTCATGGCAATGATCCACGACCTGACTCCTCCACTCTTCCAGTACTGTCCAGGGGGTACAACGTAGTCTCCATTCTAATACACCGCGTTAATGAAGAAATAGCTGAAAGGACAAGCTCTAGACTAAAAGAAAACCTCATCCATCCCGGCTCCTTTGGAATGCTTTCCGGCCCTGCCCCATCCTTGTTTCAGAAAATAATACTTGTTTTAGAAACTAAAACAAGAGCCTCCAGGAGTTCTAGTCCTCGGGGATCTGAAACTGCAGGGCTCCTGATCCTGACACTTTGAGATTAGGGACAGCCCCTCTCCTCCCACTTCCAGCAACGACTGTGATGCTTGTCATAGAATGTGGAGGTCAAATGAATGAGTCCTGAGTTACAGCCCCTGATTTAGATGAGACTGTAAAACTTCACTGGAAATAAGGTGAATCCTGGGCACAAATGGTGTTCAGATTAGGGGACCAAGAGGGTATAACCACCCAGAGAACATCGTCTAATACTCAGAGAGGTGCTTTATACCTGCCCAGTTAAGCTTATCGACCACCTAGGAAATGAATATTGTTTCACCCTCTTTATAAATAGTAGTGCTTTGGCTAAGGGGTACCACGGTCTTTTACTTAGAAGATTCTCATCTCCAACCTTTCACTTTTCCATCAGCTTTTTTCTTTTGCTGAGGAAGATTCATCCTGAGCTAACATCTATGCCAATCTTCCTCTATTTTGTATGTGGGTCGCCACCACAGCATGGCTGCTGATGTGTGGTGTAGGTCCACGCCCGGGAATGGAACCCAGGCCACTAAAGCAGAGTGTTCCAAACTTAACCACTAGGTCATGGGGCTGGCCCTCCTCCATCAGCTATTTTTTAATATAGATTAATGTATCTTATTTAAAAAGACTTCTGGGGCCAGCCCGGTGGTGCAGCGGTTAAGTGCGCATGTTCCACTTTGGCGGCCTGGGGTTCGCCAGCTTGCATCCTGGGTGCAAATATAGCACCACTTGGCAAGCCATGCTGTGGCAGGCATCCCACATATAAAATAGAGGAAGATGGGCACGGATGTTAGCTCAGGGCCAGTCTTCCTCAGCAAAAAGAGGAGGATTGGCAGCAGATGTTAAATCAGGGCTAATCTTACTCAAAAAAAAAAAAAAAACCACTTCTAAAACATCAATGCAACTACTGCATGCCTTCACATTTCCCCTGACCACCCGTCTGCACTGAACACCTCAGAGCCTTCACCCTATAGCATTAACTCACAATGGAGACTGAACCCCGCCTCACTCCATGAAGAAATAATGTCCTTTAATGTGCTTTCTCTCCTTCCTTTTGGAAAGCCTTTATCCCGCTATTAATGGAATTAGTAAGATAATATGCTGACTCCTGCATGCAGCCTAGGTAGGAAAACCGAAGCCTATGCCCCACGATTCAAGGCATCTAAACTCCAGCTGAACAACACCCCACTTCCTGGGCACCCTGTGGCTGTTCATTCTTCTAGCTTTCATTGCTCTCATTTTTTATTCACTATTTTGCTCTCTCCCGTACTAAACTCTCCTAAGACCCATTGCAAATAAACTCTATACAGAACCCACCTTTGGATTTTTAGCCAGAACAGAAAAAGAAAATGTAGCCATTATATGCACAGAGCAGATTCATCTAATTCTTAGTGTTTCTATGGAGTAGAGTGAGGAGAATGACCTAAAGTTCAGGATCGTGGAAAATTCAATCCTAAGCTTCTTTTTTCCACATAATACCTTTAAATATTAGCTTATTATATATTCTGTTTCAAAACAGCAAAGGTTAATTTCAGAATCTATTTTGGCAATGCCTTCTGGTTTAGAATGAATATTAAAATATTTAAAATATTTGCAGGTTGACAAAGTGTTCAGTGCACAGATACATAACAATGAAGCCAATAGATTCTGTTTATATTATTATTTCCAACTGGCCAACAACACGGGGGTTCAGAATTACACAGGCTTAGGGGACAGACATTAATAATGTTGCTATGTTAAGAAAATACAGACGCTAGCCAAATTAGGAACTTTCATAATACTTCTGTATTGAACCCATTACTTCAAATGGCATTGTTTGTGTGACGAAAACACAGCTGTTTTTCCTCTCTGCCTTTCTGGCTGTCCTTGGCTATTAAAAATCCCTCCAGGAGAGCTTTTTTAAAAAACCGCATGTTGCAGTAGAGAAAGGCTGTTACCTGTCATCTTTTCTATCTAATAGGCCACACGACCTGCTAATCAAGAACGGACACCATGTGTTCTTTTGCTACTGAGACTGAGCAGTTCAGCCCTTGCGACCCGCCGTTGACTGCAGGCAACGACAAGGTCAACACTTGGAGGCCTAGCAACCACGCCTTGTCGCTCACTTTGGAAGCAATTATTCCCGAACTAGCCAATTAATCAGGCTAGACACGTTTACCCTCCCCCTGAGGCCACCTTAAAAGCTCACTCTTTATTCCTCAGAAGTCTTTATTTTTGGTACATTAAAGAATTTTTTTTCCCGATTATGAAGCTATCTAGACACAGCTCCAAAATGAAGAGGGTGCCCTTCCTTTGAAATGATGGAAGACTCGGAATCTCAACAAAATGAAAATAATCGAAGACGGAAAAGAATGTCCTCTGACACCTCAGCACCTGTAGGCTTTCCTGTGTGCAGGGGCCAGAAGACACCTGCCTGACGCTCCAGACTAAAGAAGCAGGCGCTGAAGGGGGCTGCACTGCAGAGCGTGCTGCCTGCCCGGCTCGAGCGCTAGGGGAGGCGGCAGCTGTCGTCATGCTCGAAGACCTGCACTTTATTTTGTTGCCAAAGGAGTATCACCAAGGCTTAAGGTGGAGGAGCTCTCCCAGGCAACGCGTGCCGAGTGGACGAGGAGTACGAGCAAAATAAATCACGGTGAGAAAGGCCACGTCAGCCCATAAATGCATACTGCACGTCTTAATAATAACATTAAATGTAAATAAAGCCTCTTAAGCTATGAAGTAAAGGTACTAGCCATGCCTTCGTTAACAACGTTTCCTAGAAACAATTCCAAGGCTCTGATGAGACCCTAGTCCTGTAGAGAGTCACAGAACCTCAGATACTGCATTATTTGAGTTTTTTCTTAAAGAAATAAAGATAGGAGAAGGATTTAAAGTCCCAGAGTCACTAAGGAATTAATGGATTGGGAATTAGTGGAAAGTCTAGATTTATTTTTCCATTCCCCCAATGTTGTAAAGTAGAAATATGTACATTATTTTATTTATACTATTTATTTACCTGTTTATATGTGTTGAACGAACGAATGAATGAATGAATGGAGCCTACATTCTCCATGGTTTCAGATGCCCATGGGTAAATGTGCTCTTAACTAGAACTGGGAACAGAGCAACTAGTAGCTTCTATTTTGACAAAAAAAACCCAGCTCTGACCAGATTGATTGACCAGGTAGATTAAATGACATTAAAAAACACACACAACTTTTAATCATATTTCTGGGAGAAACCACGCAAGACGTGTTTTCCCTTGTGGTTCAAGGAAGGGTTGCCCATTAACTCCCATAATATTAGTAACAGGACATGGTACAAAAATCAGGAGCCCCGGGTTCTAGTTCACTTTCTACCTTTAACTGATTAGGTGTTCTTGGGCGTTCCTCCTTGCTTCATCTTTTAAAGGGATGTTCTCTGTGGTTCTTTCCAGCTAAAATGAGCTGTAATTCAATATGTATAAGATGAATCCACTCAGCAGCAGTGATGGAACCCAGGAAGTGTGAGGAATGGCCCCTCTCTTGTAGGAGAGTCTTTCTTTACCAGGATTCAGAACATGGACAGCTGAAAATATAACCAAATGGGGAAGACTATGGGTCAGTTCGGAACAAGAGACTATCCGCTAAATTTTGTGGGAGCTCCGAAGACAAAGAGTTCCCCTGGGGCTGAGATGGTAAGAAAGGGCTTCCGATGGTTAGATTCAGACACTCAAAGCATGGAGAAAGCTTTCTAGGCAGAGAAATGACGAGAGGGAGCAAGAACACAAAAACACTAAGCCCGATGTGCAGAAACTTCCCGGGGAGAGTTGGGAATATAGAACTTCTCTGGCGTGGCAGCCGATAAAAACTTCGCCATCAGAGACCCACGACCTCGAAGGGTGAGAAGGTGGACGCCAGGGGAGCAGGGGCTTTTGCCTCCTGTTCTCACCGTAGTCCAGCAGCCCCACCAGGGCCTGACACACACTGCGTTCAACGCTTGTTCAATGAGTCCAGAACCATCTGGGCATTTGAAAACTACAATTTTCAGCCCACTCTTTGCCCACTGTTTTAGCTTATACCTTAGAACAGCATAGGCTCGGAGGGCCCTCCAGGACTTTTTCTTTTAAGCTGATTTCTCGTTATCTGGAGATGTGGTTTTACTGTACCAATGGTGCTTGTTCTCTCTTCTTCCGTGTGCGCAGGCCTCCACGCAGACCTAATGATAAATGGACCAAGGAGCACGCCACTCTGTCTCCCCGTGCAGCCTTCCTTTGCTTAATTGCATGGACTAATGCAAACTTCATTACACTTTCATAATTGTTCCGGGACTTGTTTCTCCATTCTCAATTAACTGCTATCCTTTAGCTGGGAAGGAAATTGAGAGTACACAGGTTTGAGCAGAAACACTAGATTTATAATGTTAAATACTAAGAAAAAGGGCAGTGAAAGGCCTGGCTCGGACACAGTTTGTTGAAGCAGCACTGAGAGGCGAGATTAAGGTTAGGTAAACGAGGGGAGGATCAATTCTGCTGGCTGTTCTCTGGAAGGTCATTGTTGTTTGGTTTGCTTTGTTATTGAAGCAGGTCAAATGACTCGGGTTCGTTCTTAATTATAAAATACAGGGATTTGTTTTTTCCTCTCGAATTAAGAGTAATTCATGGGAAAGCAGAGAACGGTGGGAATCCATTCACTTTGGACAGACAATTAAATAACTCTGCTCTGGGTGGCCAGACAGTTTATAAATGGAATGACGTTTTTTTTTAAATCCTGATGATCATGATGCTAAAGAGAAGAAGAAAGAAGACCTTTCCAAATCACTTTAAAACAACAATTCTCCCATAACTGAGGAATCTTCCAATGGGCTTCACTGGGGAAAATTACCTTCTCCTGGGACCCAATCATTTTACTTTCTACACCATTCATCTAATTAGTCACAGAATAAGTTGTTGTCTAGATCACGGAACCCAAAGCATTATTTCAAATTCTCATCTCAGATGGGGGAAGAAGTTTAACACACAGAATTTTAAAGGCCTAGGAAGGCAGGTCCAGAAAGCGGTCATGCTAGACCATATCATCATCATGTGAGCTGAAGTGATCTGCATCTGATTTTCATGTGGCAAAGGATCATGGAAACGCTTCCTGGATACTGAAGGATGCTAAGCAAATACTTGCAAAAGACAGTATACACAGATTCAAATAGGCAAATGTCAGCGCATGTGCAGATAGGCGGCAATCTTCTAGTAGCATAAACGTAGCAAGTAAAAATATGAAGAGCCTGAAATTTGGGGGCTTAGAAGATGAAAAATAAATCACCCCAAATAACTCACAGCCAATTCACATTTCAAGGTGAAACTTACCACTGCATTTACATGTGGAAATCAACTGCTTACCCCTGGAAGAATAACGGACCTACTATTGTTTTACCAAAATATTTGTTTCTAAAAGTATTCAGCCAGACTAGGTATGTTTGTGGCTTGGGGATAAGGACAGTTCAGATTAAAAGTTTATAAACTTCTGTTTAACATCTCATCACTAGAAGGGTTGTTAAAACACAAATTGCAGGGCCCCCACCCCCAGAGGTCAGTAAGTTCCAGGTGAAACTTAATAATTTGCATTTCTAACAAGGTCTGGTGACCAAAGTTTGAGAACTAATGGACCAGAGACCAAAATTCTTTTATTTATTGTTTCCTCAATGACCCCCTGGATCTATTTTCCTATGACCAAGTAATATACTGTAGAACAAAACAACTAATCTTTCAGGATAAATAATACTGTACAGTTTGGAGATACTTAATAAACTCAAGTGGTGGATAATCTGATCCCTTGGGTAAAATTTACCATGGAAAGCTAATCAGTACTCCTAGGAAGAAGGGAAGAAAATGGATATACAGACAGGCGCTAGTGTTGTTATTTAAATGAGAGAAACCCTCGTTGCAAGTCTCTCCTGCTCCAAACACAGTCTCCAATTTACTGTACACAGCGAACACACCCAGTCTTTCACAAAACGTGGAGCAGGATTCTTTACCGACAAACACTGATGTTTTGAGTCGCTAGTGTGCCATAAACCGAATTAGAGGAGAGTGCAGAAGAAGGATAAAAAAAAGTAAATAAATAAATGAGAAAAAGGCAGAAGATACCAGGTATTGATGCAGATGTGGGGCCCCTTGACTGCTCAAGCCCTGCGGGCACAAGTGTAAATGGGTACCACTCGGGGAACTGGCAATATCTACTGAAGTTGAGCGGAGGCATGTTCCACGACCCAGCAATTCCATTCCCGGGTATTCACTCAACAGAAATGCATACGTGTTTATCAAAGGACATACAGCTCAACGTTCACTGCAGCCATATTCATAATAGACCCAAATGTCCACCAACAGTTACTATATAGCAGAGTTTCTCGGGCTTGGCACAATTGGCATTTGGGGCTGAATGTGCTTTGTTGTGGGGGGCTGTCCTGTGTAGGCTGTTTAGTGGCATCCCTGGCCTCCACCCACTAGATGCCAGTAGCACCCTTTGCCCCTCCCCCAAGTTGTGACAACCAAAAATGTCTCCAGATATCGCCAAACGTTCCCTAGGGAGAAAAATCACCCCTCCCCACTTTACACACCTCCTTCTTTCTGTACAGTGATGAAATGAATAAGTACAACTGCCTACGATAGAAAATGTGAATCTCACAAACGTGCCATTGAGCACAAATAGCCAGACAAAAAGAGTATACGCTGTATATTTCCATTTATGTAAAGGATAAAAACAGGTCAAAGTAATCTCCACTCTTAGACACCAGGGTAGTGACTAGGATGCCGGTCACGTTCTGTATCTTGATGCTGGCTACATGGGTGTGTTCAGTTTGTGACACTGTATCAAGTGATCACCAATGATATGGACACTTTTCTGTTAGACGATACTTCACCAAAAATGAATGAATGAATGAATGAATAGAATGAATCATGGTCCTTCTCCCAGAAATACTCTTCCATGGGACTCTTCAAGGTGACTGGAGATCAAGAGTCCTTCTTGAATAACTAATATTTATGGGTATCACTTACGATTGGATACTCTGCAGTACCACATACCAGAGCCCACACTACTTCTTCCTTAAGCAGACTGACCGCTGAGAGTGTTTCCATTCTGGTTCCTGACACTAGCCACCCTCAGCCATGACCCAACCACCACTCCTTCCTACCAGTCAGCAATGTCCAGCATAAAAGGAGCCAAGAGAAAACAGAACAGGAGGTTAAAACTGAATTTAAAAACCCATTGTTGTTATCAACACAGAACCGGGTGCCAGCCCTTAAAGCACTTGTAATCGAGATAAGGACAGAGGGGGCACTTGCACTGACAAGAGAATGTATGTTAAAACAGGTACGAAGAAGTATGAATGACAGAGCTGATAGCTGGAATTAGGGGCTATGCACCCTACTTGCCCAGTGAGGAAACTGAGACTTAGATGGTCACTGGTCTCCCAGGGTCACTGAGCTGGGAGAGGCTGACCCTGGCCTTGAATGAGAGCAGCTTCAGTCCAGAGTTCTTGCCATTCTGTGCCCTTTCAGGCAGGCCCAGGAATGTCCTGGCATCAGCGTCCACATTTGCTTCATGGAGAAATCATGAGAAAGAAGGAGAGCTGTGTTCACTTTCAGTACGACACATTCATTCCCTTTTCCAACGCTCCTCTTTCTCTCACATCCAATCAATCAATACTTGCTGAGAATGCACCTAGGCCTGAAGCACCAAGAGGTTTCTTTTCCTTTCCTTCCAACGTCTTTTCTTTATTCCTCAGACAACCACCTGGACAAATCTTTTCCTTCTGGCTCATGATGATTGACTTCCCAATTCCATCTCTCCAGCCCCCTCTTCAGGTGATCACATCACTGCCTGTTCTGACCAGTTACAAGCAGAAAGCGAGACCCAGGGAATAGCTGGCCCCAGGCTGACCTCAATTCCTGAAGCCTGGTCCTTGAACTAATTAACCAGTCACCTGGGAATAATCTCTAGGGCCAGAGCCCCTGGGAACCCTTCCTATCTCGTCTCTTTCTGCAGAGAACAATTCACCAAGCCCAAGGTCCTTCTTCCTCTGTTCTGACTTGGGACTCAGGTGCTCAGATAGCGCCCTCAGGCTTCCTAGACTCCAAGACTTCACAATCTTCAGAACACCTGCTCTCCTGATCACATTTGCTAAATTTGTTTTTAAACTTTGCTTTCTTAGGAAGACTAGGTCTGAGACTATCCAGATGACTGATACAGTGACAGGAGTTTGATACACACTATGACAAGAATTCCATCAGAATCAGTTATCAGTTTTACAAAGACAACATACCACCAAAAAAGTTGAATAATGTGCTGAATAGCTTCCATTTGGCCCTTTAGGTCCCCTCCCCTCTCTTCTCCACCCTGCACGAGGGGTGATCTCTATGCAGTGTGTCAATGGGCTCTGCCTCTGTTGGGTTTGCCAATGAGGGGAAGACAGAGGGATCAAGGCGTTGACTCCTCAGCTCCTTTCTCGTCAGCCACAGCAGGACAGCCCTGTCCTTTGACTGAAGTTCAAAAGTCACAGTTCTTCTAGAAGGGGCCCTGTCCACAGCAACTTTTCTAACCACTCCCCCTTTCAGGTCTAGAAATGGTAACAGATCCACTATTACTGGTTCTGGGTATTACAATATTGTTTTTCTTCACTCTGCCCAAACCTTCAAAAATAGTCCCTTTAAGTAAATCCTTCTTAATTAGTCCAATTCGAGTGTGCTGTCTACTTCCTGCTGGGGCCCTGACTGATACAATAATAAATGATTACACTGGAAGAATACTTACTATGTGCAAGGTATTTAGTTAATATTTCACAAAGATTATCTTTTATTGCTCACAACAACCCTGTGAAGTAGGCACAGTTATTACCCCCATTTTACAGATAAGCAAGGGAGACTTGGTCCAACATATTACCCCGGGCCATAAAGTCAGGGAGCACTGGAGCCGGACTTTGAATTTATATATCTAATTTTTTGCCTCCCAATACAAATGAGATATATCAGGATATCAAAATTCATTCAGAGCTCCTTCTCTCTTCCCAAGGGTCAAGGCTATAGCTGGTGAGAGATGGGATCAGCATGTCCTGCGGCCAGGATTTCAGCTAAGCACCAATGGGAAAGACTGGTTCCAGTAATGGGATGGAGAAAAACAAATGAAGATACTAAGGTTAATGGGAGCCAGGTTCCTCACTGCTGGGGAAGGAAGTAGAAAGAATAAACCCCGTGTTGTTGGATTGGAATTGGAGATATCAGTGTGAACTTGTGCTTTCTAATATATATATTTTTAAATTAAAAAATAGGTTTGTGTGTGTATGAGACAATGTGTGAGTTGGGGCATGTCTTTGAAAATGCACAGGTGTGGCTGTGGGTGTGTGTCATGTGTGTATACAGACATTATGTGTACACAAGATATATATTTTTTCCTAGCTCTAACCCCTGAAAGGGCTTGGAAGTAATAATGCCCTTGAGTGCCCAGATCTTGGTTTTTAAACACATACCATTCTTGACTAAATGGAACCAGAGTTCCCTGGAGAAAATAGTTGACTCCACAACTCGAGCAGGTTAAGTAGGAGATTAGCTTGGAACATCTCCTTGTGCCAGAAAGCAAGGAAGTGCTC